ATTCGAGCCGTTCATGCCAGACTGGGGAGAGAGGTGTTGTAATAATGTAAAATATGTGAAAAATAATGTGTTTTTCGAACAACCTAGTATGAGAGCCTGTTCTAGTACACCCCCAAAACAAAATCAAGACTTTGTAAAAGAGCATAATAGGACCCCTTTAAATAATTGTGCTTGTAAATGTCTCCTTATATCCCCTAATTGAGCTAAAAACACATCATCTGAAAAATTTGCAATGCGCCCCTAAATTTTTTTTAATGAGCTCCTAAATTTTTCAACTAAGGATAAAAACTTGGGATAAAAATCTGAATTTTGAGATATAAACTTAATTACAATGAAAAGTCAGAATTGTGAGAAAATCTCACATCAACCTTTATTTTCTTTTCAGTGGTGGAAATAAATCAGAAGTGTGAAATGTAAACAGAACTCATTGTTCAAAATTGTGAGATGACTCAAAATTCTGAAAAGCCTAAATAGGTGTCCATGAGCTCCACTCACCTTCAATTCCTGACCAGCAATGCATTTCTAGAAAACAACATGGATAAATCAATTCAGTCAATTTATATGACCATGACAGTATTCTGTTGCATGCACCAAACTGTAAAAAATAAATAAATATACAAAATAAAAATTAAAAATGTTTTGTCATTTATTCATAAATATCTCAAGAACTAACCATCTTCTTGTACTCATTCACATGGAGCTGCAGTATGCCAAGCAGGAAGGTGAAGATACTGTCCATATTCTGTGTAAGGGTGTGCTGGATATCTCGCCGTCTTTGAGTGGGTAACGTCTGAAATGTGATCACATCCTCAGCTAACCGCAGTAGGACAAGCATTACAAGTTCCGTCTGAGCGTCCTGGAGAAAATTAGAATGTGACTGTTAATTCAAATAGACAATATTTTAAATAGTTATTTACTAAAGTTACTATTTACTAAAATTGCATGCAAAAGGGTCATTAAGCAGCAGATCTACAAAATGTCCACACTCTGACTCCTGAAGATGCCTGCAGAGCTTAGTTAAAATTAGCTGTGTGCAATATTGAAAAAAAAAAAATGTCAATATCGTCAATAACGATAACTGGACAATATTTTGCTGAAGGTGTTCTTGTGCTGGAACATTGTCTGGCTGTTGTGTTTAGCTGACTCCCAACGCTTTTCATAATATTCAATTCTGTGTAGTGGTCAGTTCATAGCAGTGAGAGAAATAAACTTTTTCATTAAGGGGCGATATTTGCCTCTTTAAAATGATTTCAAGGGTAATTTTAACCTTCATTAGGGCAACTGATCAGTTGTACGCATCATCTTTTGTCAAATTTATTATTATTAAAATTCTAATAAACTAACAAGACACTTTAGGCGGCTGCATATATACTTTATAAAGTTATAATATATACTTTATTATAATTAAAATTATAAAAATAATTATAATAAGAACTCAGATAAATCATATATTGTTGTAGTCCTGTGTTTATTAGTCATGTTGAATCAATGAAAGCAGTTAAATCTACCACTATAGGGATTTCCTGGATTTCTTCTGCAGGGCGTATTTGGAGTTTCAGCATGAGAGCGCCCTCTGGCCTTCGGATGGAGATTTACTACTGATCACAGAACCGTGCTTCACTGACAAGATGCGCATGACAATTGCAGCTTTTGCCTAGTCGCGACTGCTATGTCATTTCGATTTATCATGCAGCCCTAATAGTGACCATCAAACACTACGAACGACTGTGTCTAAACAATACAGAACTACTGCAGCAAAGTGACAAGACCTCAATATTCACCTTGAACACCTTGTTTCCATGAAAAAAAACAGAGAACTTCACAAAGCTATGTCCATAAAAGAGCTGCACTTGCTGAAAATCAGACACCAATGCTAAAATGCAAAATAAGCTGATGTCATGATCATAAAACCTGGACAGTTGGAACACAAAGATAACTAGGCTCTAGCTGAAACAGTGGCAAGTGAAATCTAAGAATTTATTAGCCAATGACTAACGGCAGACATTATTTAGTTGCCTAGTGCTAAATTTTGTCGCATATGCAAACAATTTATTCCAGTGTAGGATTGTGATGCAAAAAGTACTACATTCACCATGTTGATACCCAATTTTTGTCTTCGGATCGGAGGGGCACTTTATTATGACCAAAAGTTGACAGTTGACGGATTTGTCACTGGCCCTGATCAGGCCACTGATACGTTATCACGAAAGTTCAGTACTTGCGCACTGTGTTTTGTCTGAACAGCGAACACACAGAGAGTGCAAGCCCAAATACTCTTTTGCATCTTCTTGCGCTTTAATGGACAAATACACCTTGCCAATTTGAACATTAAATTAATTGCAAAGCATTCAAGCACAAGAAGTACGTAAATACATTTATTCAGAGTGTTCCATGAGCACAGCGCGCACACAAAGAGCCATGTCTCAGGCAACATGCAAGTTTCAATACGGACATACACATACAAAAGTATATCAAAATACCCGACTTGGCAAGTATCCTCGAAAACAGTCGGTTATGACTTAAGTGAACGTAAACAGTGGAGAAAGAAATCGGAAGCGAATCATTGTATTGGTCCCATGCATTTTGTCTAAAGTGACAGCACCTAATTTACCAGCTGCTGTTGGTGTAAAAATTATTAATCTACATTTAATTTATACAGTGAAGAATATGCTGTTGTTTTACATTTGACTATTCAATTTCTGTACCTGAACACCTACAGACCTAAAAACAAAGCACTATTTAATTTGTATATTTGGTCTATTTATTTATTTGTGCTATTGCTCTTAATTTGTTCATTTGTTCTTATTTACTGACTTTTCACTTGTCTTTAACAATCCTTGAACTTTATATTAATAAGGCTAGTAGTTTTTGCTTTTGCTGGGTTATCGAAATTGGAATCAAGAATTGTAATATTTAACTGATAGGCCTACCTAAAATTTTGGTGTCATATAAGCTTACTTAGAATACAAGATAACATGGGTCAAAGACAACAACATTTTTTTTTCTTGTGGTAGGGCCAGTGAAATAGTTGGCAGGGCAAATAAAAATTTGAACCACTGGCCTAAGCGAGCCAGAATCTCAAAAAAAAAATTTTTTTTAAAGCGTTGTAGAGGTTTTAAAGGGGTCATCGGATGCCCATTTTCCACAAGTTCATATGATTCTTAAGGGTCTTAATGAAAAGTCTGTAACATAGTTTGGTTAAAATTTCTATATTATAATTATTATAATTTCTATAGACAACTTTTTTACCCTGTCAAAAACAGCTCTTTTCCTTTAAATGTTAATGAGCTCTGCTGACCCCGTCCCTCTCTTCCGAGCCGCTCTCTGAGGGACTGTTTACCGCATTCATCGTGAAATTTGCTAATTAGCACATTATTAGGAAAGGCGATTTGCCAAGATTTATTAAAAACCTTATACTCACTTCTTCTGTAGGTGAAGCTGGATTACGAATGATTCGCGCGAACATAGACGCATTTAGGTAGATCAGGGGCGCATTCCCTTCAAAAAACAAACGTAATCCACTGCATCTTCAGCGGCTCAGATGTCGGGAGTAAATGACGACTGCTATGTTCATTATTACATCCAACAACAAAACACCTCAATCGCTTAGGAGTCATTCTTGTCTACATCTGCACCGGCGGTGAAACAATGGCGGACTGATGACAGCGCACTCAGGGCGAGTCTAAGGTAAGATGCCAGTCCAGTCTGTACTGAAACGCCACTGTCAATCAAACTATCATGGGAGGGGCCTGTTTTTGTGACATCACACAGACAGGCATCTGAGATCGGCTCGATTTGAGAAAGGGGGAAAAATTTGAGTAGATTAAAAAAAAAAACACGGTGGATTTTTCATTATAAGGTGGTTGTGTACACACACTGCCAACACACATTTCAGTTCAAACAACGTGTAAAATTGCATGTAGCATCCTATGACCCCTTTAAGAGGAGGGTTGTAACTAAACTCTGACATGAAGGCATATCTTCAGGAGCATGATCTAGCACCCCAGTCCTACAACATCACCCTTTATGTTAGCCAAAAATCTTGAGATACCCCCATAGCAGTAAGGGCCTCCATCTCCTTAAGCATGTCAGGCCAGTGCTGCGGCCACTCTCTCTTGATCATCTCAACAACTATGCGTGAGAGGGCATCCTTAACATGACATTCCTCTTGCAGAATTGGATGTGTACCCTAAAACAGGACATCAAGCCATAATATGAATAAGCGATTTCAATAAACCACACAATAAGATGATTTAGTGGATACACTTCCAAAATACTTACATCTGACAACAGGCCCATAGTGCAGTTTTTCAGCTGGAGCTTTTCTTGTGGTGCCATGTCATTCCACTTAAACCTGTTCATAAAAAATGTGTTCAGCTTAATGCTCAGCATTCATTATGGTGTACACACTAAAGGGTTTAAAACACTTACTTGACTACATGCTCCAGTATCTGCAGTCCAAAGTGTCTGACCACTGCAGTCTGTGATTTCTCCGCTAACTGAAGACCACATTCAACACAGAAGGGACTTTTCTCTTTGAACTCTTCAATAAACTACAACAAGGAAAACTATTAGACAATTTTACAGCATATAGTTGTACTGTATCATTACACAATTCATAGTTTAGTATGTGCAGTTCATGTGATTGATCAGAACAGCAAAGAAAAAAAAACTGTCTTAAAATTATTTGTCAAA